GCCTGGAAACATGCCACTATAATTATTATTAAAAAACCTGGAAAAGATAAAAAACTGACAGCAAGCTATAGACCAATCTCTTTACTACCAGCTATCTCAAAAATCTTTGAAAAAATTATTCAAAAACGACTACAGCAATATGCGCAAGACAATAATATCATCTCTCCCTTTCAATTTGGATTTAGAAAAAATTACTCCACTATTCATCAAGTTTCCCGCATCGTTGAGAAGATTGGTGAAGCTTTTAATAAAAAGGAAACTGTCGCCGCTCTTTTCCTCGATGTGGAGAAAGCGTTCGATAAAGTGTGGCATACAGGTCTCATTTACAAATTAATTAAATATAACTTTCCTGCTGCATTAATTCAAATTATTCACAACTACTTGCAAAATAGATTTTTTCAAGTCCGCATCAACAATAGTTATTCTACAAAAAGAAGAATAAATGCTGGTGTCCCTCAAGGAGGGAATTTGGCTCCGTATTTATATATCATCTATACCAATGACTTTCCTATCTACCCAGGTACTGAAATAGCCCAATATGCAGATGACACTGCAATTTTTTCTATTTCAATCAACCCTTCTCATGCGCAATATAAATTACAACAAGCAGTTGACAATATCCAAGATTGGCTAACTAAATGGAAAATTAAAATTAATCCCCATAAAAGCAATAACATAATTTTCAAAAGAACAACTAGAAGACCGGTTTGTGCACAGCTTTATATAAATAATCAACCTATAAATAGAGAAAACACAGTTAAATATCTAGGCATCCATCTTGACTACAAACTCAACTTTAAAGAACATCTTCATGCTACCAGAACTAAAACAATGCAGGCCTTCATGAGTGTATACTCTATTATTAATAGCCATTCAAAACTTAGCATTAATACGAAAAGAATAATCTATTTACAACTTATAAGACCTACCATGCTGTATGGATCACCTGTCTGGGCTGCAGCAGCTAAAACAAACAGAAATCAACTTCAAGTTATTCAAAATAAAATTATTAGAACCATGCTGGGTGCCCCTTGGTTTATAAGAAATGAAGTATTACATAGGGATCTAAACATTAACACAATAGATGAAGAAATTCTCAAAACAGTCTACAAATTTTACAATAAAATGCAACAACATCCCTCCAATATTATTCAAAATATTGGCAACTATGACTATATAATTGAACAAAAGTACAAAAGACCTCGAACAATTCATCATAATGTTCGGTGGTGAATTTTGCTATAATCATCTGTAATTTATCATCATCATTATCACATGAATTACTATTTAATCAAGATTTTCTCCACTACTGTTCTTTGTACATTACTGAAGCAAGTGTTTTCATAACAAGATTATTGTTTCTTATTGGCTAACTCAGGCACACCTATTTATCCAAGTTCTCTTTTATTTCATATTCATCAACAACAACATTTATGCAATTTTATACACTAACAAAGAATGTTAGTATTTTATTGTCATGCATTTATTATTTTAAAAAATTTTTGTAAATATTAGTCGAAATATCGTACAAATATGAAAATACTAAGCTTTTCTCGCTCTCGCCAATCACCATTCTGGATCGGCAACACGTGACCAGTCTCTCAATTTACATCTCAAGAATTTGATATAATATCAAATATTATATTCGATATTTGACTTTATTATATAATTGATATTTGACTTAATAAAATCCTTCATAATTCCTGAAGAAAAAATTCTACCATTCATAAAGCCTTAATTGGATTATTCATTGATGAGGCATGTACTTTAATTAGTACGATACTCATAGTCTGATGCTACGACCTGACCTGACCTTGTTTCTCTCTTTTTCCTTTTTCTCTCTGACGTCGTGTTAACGACTGTATGGGACGCCACACACAGCTCTCGCCATCGTTCCTGCATATTCTCATGTGGAATGTCGTCGTATTATGCATAGAAAGAAACAGAATTAAGAGACGTAACATCTAAAGGAAAATGCTTGGTTTGAGACTCACTAAGTCCTTCTGCCGTGAATAACATAAAATAAACGCTCAAGCAGAATATCAATAGGTGTTCGACTCCAAGATGTGCTTGACCAGCGATGGTCACAGTGATGATAGGTGTTAAAAAAATTGAGTGTGAAAAAAGAAACTTGCACGGTGTAATAGATGCCCACATACTAAATGAATATGAGAAATTTCGACCGCAGATATTTCGAGAGACAGGATTGCACGAATAAGTCCGTTCGCACTCACCGAACATTCCCTTTTATTTTCATATGTGGTGTCTAAGTTATGATTTTAATATTTATATGTGTGATAAATGTTCCTTATTAATCCAGAAACTGTGTTGATAAAATAATGCAGGTGGAAAAAGAAGTATCGACTCATGCATACCTTATGGCTAAGTCATTTTATTTCTTATAGTAAAATCATGCATGTAAACCACTAATTTTAGTAAACTTTTACGCGGAATAATTTGATTTGATACTCTTATATGTTACTTTAGCGGGACGCCAGAAAACCCATTATGTGCCGTAATACAACAATTTGGTAAGCATAGTGGATATTTTAAATCGTAAAACATAGAGCTGATATGCTTAAAAAAAGATGAAAATCTCAAAACGCCAGTATGTAATTAATGACGTATATTGTAGGAAATTTTAAATAAAAAGCTCTAATTTTTTGCAGGTATGCTTAGAAATACATCTACTTTAAGATGATGGCAAAAGTTTTATACGTTATAATTCAAAAATGTTTTCGGAAAATTTATAAAAGTACAAAAAATACAGATAACCTACCTTCTTAAGATAAACTGTAGTTCTATGATCATGATTCTTTCAAGCAGCGTTCACACGATGGTCTGATCGTTATAATTGTTACAATCCTAAGGCTTAAAGATTCTTAACTTCACTCACATCTGTGCAACATGGTTTAAGCATAGCCAATCAAGGAAAGTAAAACCGCATAATCATTAATGTGCGGCTTACTCACCAAAATCGTCCACTGAATTTAAAATAGTGTTTGTTTCTCTATGACTGATCGGTTCTTATAACAGATTCGCATAAAAGTGAACAGTTATGGAGCCCTCACACGAGGACTACAAATTCACATTGAGATTTCTGGTTTGCCTTTACTGCCTGGAGAAGAAGTATTTATTTCAGCTTTATTATTGCTTTTCCGTCTCATTGAAATTATTGCTAGTTCTTGACTAGCTTTGCTAGCTAGTACAAACTTGATTTTTTATTAAGATGTTTCAGAACAATATTATTGATGTTGAATCTGATGATGTTTTCGAGGATGATGACCTTCCGATGGAAGTTATTGGAAACATATAGCGAGTTCACAGGAGCTTCAAATTCATACGTTGACTTAATCACCATCAGGTTGAAAATGAATGAGGAATTAGAATGAAAGTACAGCACATCGCATACGTAAATTTACCTTCCCTGATTGGCTATTGTTTAAACCTGTTCCACAGCTGTGACTATGCCAATAATAACATGTAGATATTTATCTGAACCTCCTTTAGAACATTTAGCCAAAACCTTTATACCAGTTTCTGTGACATAGCAAGGTATTGTTGCCAAGCAACAATTTTTAGCTTATGTCACCGTGACCGCAAAAGCCTTCACGTGAACGCTCTGTTAGGCTGCGTTCAGACGATGGCGTAAAGCGTATAGAGGCGTAGTCATAACGGCATAAAATACGGGAATTCCGTTCACACTTGCGAGAATGGGGTAAGCCGTGGCCAATGAGAAAAGCTAAATCTGCACATGCGTGGATGTGTCTACAACTTTCCCGCGCTGTTCTCCTGCTCGATTGATTTACCGCGTTCGCTCTGCTTGTTTTGTGACAGCGGAAGCTTCTGTAGAACCCCGCTTCGTTTTAGCTTCCTCTGACTGTCGAGCTTATTAAACTCGACGTAAAGTTGAAAAATTTGAATCCTATGCCACGAGACCTATACCAGATTTTGTGACGTAGCACAGACTGGTTGCCATGGCATCGGAGCTCGGCTTTAATCACTTACGCCCTTTACGCCCTCGTCTGAACGAAGCTTTAGGGCCCCTTTAAGCTTCTTTACATATTTCCTGAGAGCAAAAAGAGTTGCGAGGATTATAAGAGGCTCCTAAAATCTTGAGCCCTAAGTTTTGGTCAGTAATCAGACCTTTCGAAAAAAGTACCTTTGGAAATTTATGTTATTAACTAAGAATTTAAGTATTCTTAACAAGACAAAAAAAATTGCAAGTTATGAAAATGAACATTTAAGCAGGCACACAATATAAAATGCTAGTTACTATTTCCAACTTAATAGTTCTTGTGAAGATAAATTCTTCCTTCCATAGGATATCTCCCGATTTTATGCGTTTTTAAAATGATTTCTTTTAAAAAAGAGTTACGAAAGTAACGCTATTAAATTGTTAAATATTTAATTTATTTTACATCACATATTATTTATTAATATTAAACTTGTTTGAAAATATAAGTTTGTCGTCTAGGTATATTTTGTTTGTCCTTAAAAACCAGAGCTAGAATATATATTTCAAACTAACTATAAAAAACAATAACAAATAAAATACTGAAGTCATCTATAATCCAGCCTATCATAAGTAATAATAAGTCATACATTTATTTAATGCGGTAATGTTTTCCAGTAATACATGAAAACCAAGAATAACATTCAAATTTATCGAATTCATTCATCGACTGAGTTAGTTTTATACGTCTGCTAAGTGGATTCTCTGTAGGTGAAGGAAAATAAACACAGAATCCTGATTTTTAAAGGAACAAAAACATTCATCCGATAAACGAATACTGAATATATTCCTGTTTGAAGAAGAAGTACTCTGCTTTTTTTCCCAGAATAGAATGATTTTTTTTTCCTGGAAAACTATCGCTATCTACAGTTGAGTTTGTCAAAATACAAAGTTCAAATTGGAGTGCTTCCATTTCTATACAAAATATATTTAGAAATACAATTTTAGTATTTATCGAAATGAAACAATTAAATTATTTCATTACTTGGGATGAGCTATAGGAACCCTCAGGACAAGATCGTCAGGTAAATCAAACACTTGTGGATCGTGGCCATTCGCTGAAAGTACTAATGGAAGGATATCCCAATTTTTGCCTGATGATTTCCAGCCCAACTTTTGACATAACTAAAAAAAAAGAATAATTTTTAATACGACAAAGAAAGAATTTAAATCAATTTTTTCTTTAGTGTAAATAAAACTTTGCAATGAATAATTGATGCTAGATTATCGACAACTTAAAACTTTCCAGTCGTGTTACTTACATGAAACGAAATTTAGTTTTATGACTACAGAACAGAATGATGTCATGCAAAATTTAATAGTTACAAAGAATGAAAATATTAGGCAATATTATTTATGAGATATGGAAATCTGTAATTTCTGAGGCAAAGAATAGAATTTGTTCTACTAATGTCCATCTGCGAAGTCATCAACTTGATTCAATCATTGAGACTTGATTCACTTTTGTCTTTTTGTCATAGTTCTAAATTAACAATCATACTGAAAGCTCTTAATCTTCTAATAAGACAAACTCAAGTACCTAAATCGACAACTTAACCTTTAGTTCTAATGCAAATTTAAAATAATTATTCCATTTCAGGATGACTTGATACAGTGGTCCCAATACTGGCGGAACCTCCAAGCAATTTCATGCCAACAGCGAATATACAAGTACTTTGCGTAAATTAATTAACATTACTATGACAAAAACCTTGAAGAAATTGTTTAAGATTTTAGTGGTTACGACTTCAATTTCGAATCATTACTAGAAACGAGTGTCGATAATTCTCTGGAAAGTCTGGAAATGGAGCTAATTAATTTATGCTTGCTACCAGAACTATTTGGATGTAACCGAACTGTTTTATCGAACGCCATCTGGTGGTGACAAGAAAAACTTGGCTCTGTCGACCTCCGGCTGCGATGAGGTTAGGTTCTACAATATTTGTGTCTCCGGTAATTCGAAAGTTAATCTTAGATATTAGGTGTTTCGTTTTGTTGTATGTTCTGTTTTGATGTATATTTTCTTTGTAACTGTTTCTATGCTGTGTTAATAAATATTTCTATAGCTAGCCGGCGTTTGTGTTTATAGAAGAACGGTTACAAATAAAATACATCATTTGTGTTGTTTTTTAAATTTTTATTCTTTAAAAGGCATTGAGAGTTAAACCCAGTAGTACGTATAAAAACGAAGTTCTCTGCTGTAGAAGTACAAATTGCACTAAGTTGAAAGCATAAGATTTAATAGGTGACTTTGCTTGAGATTTAACAAAATAGATGAACATATCATGTCAGATTATGACACATGAGTGAAATCATACGATGGATAACATACGGATGTACTTGACTAGTATAACATGATTTGAGCCTGCTTAACACTTCATTCACACAGGCAGGTACTTGGCGATGTAGAAAAGTTATCCGGAATACTTGGCTAGTACCGGAATACTATCCGGAATACTTGGAATACTACTATTACAATGCGTTGTAATACTTGTAGAAATCCAGTGTGCTGTTCCATGTTAGAACTCTATCGACCACATTGCTGCGCCACGATCGAGAGAATCATGGCTACTGCCGACGTCGACAAACACCTCGGATAGGCATAGCAGAAAGGACAGTCTTCAGCACCATCAGAATCGGTAGTACACACAGTCCACACCACACACCTTTTCTCTTCGTCGGGAGGCTCCTACTGCGCAATTATATAGTTCACCTTTTCTGCTCAGCGCAGTCGCGAACGGGAGGAATGGAAATTCCAACAAATTGGATATAAACCAACTACGATGAACTAAATACAACGATTACAAATTTTACAAAGAACTATAAATCTGATTACAGTAAGGAATTTACATTCGGTTTAAAAAACCGTTTGCAACAAATAATAAATTTAAAAAAGAATTTTAAAATTAAACAATAAATTAAAAGAAACTTTATCTTTTTATTTTTTTTTAAGTTGTTAAATTTCTATTCAATGTGTTAGCAGCACGACACGATATTTTTACATCAACATTCGGTTTCCAAAATTATTTTTAGCAGCAGTTCACACTGAGCCCATCTCCAGCAACCAAGAAACTGAGCCCATCTTCAGCAACCAAAGTTAAATTCGAATGTAAGGGCTTTTTAAAACTAAATAGGTATTCTCAACATTACGTTACGTACCGTTTTCTAACTATTCTTCTAAACACAAACGCTGGTTAGCTCTAAAAGTATTTAACAGAGCATAGAAAGAGTTACAAAGAAAATATACATAAAAACAGTAAGTGTGTGAGAGATTATGGCAAAGCGTCGAGGCTATCTGCCTAAGAGGAGGAATGACTTCGTGGAGGACTTTCTAAGGGAAACTGGCTCGTATACACGTTACACATGGGAAAAACCACGAAAACGCTTATGCAGCCAGCCCGTTCGCGGGATTCGAACTACCAATGTTCCGCGACTTTACCGCTCGGCCGCTGGTAGGCCTACATAAAAACAGAACAAAAAGCGAAACGCAACACCTAACGTTTAGAATTTAAGTTCGAGTCACGGATACATAAATATTGTAGAACCTATCCTCATTGCAGCTGGAGGTCTACTGCTGTAAGTTATTCTCGTCGCCACTAGATGGCGTTCTATAAATAGTTCCGTTGCATCCAAATAGTTCTGTTACACGCTGTGATACAAATCTTATTCAAAGATCTAAAGATACAAATTTGCTCAACTTTTATTAGTACTTGTCAAAAGATGAATAACATCAGTTACGAATTTTTGCAATGAGAATAATCCCTTTGTTTGAAAGCATGTATGTATATGAACAGTATTTTTCCGTAGTTGAAAATTAAGAAGTCTACGAAAAGAACCAGATTGCCGATGAGTATCTAGAAATTGGTAATGAATATATTTTCTAGTAATTTTTCTCCAAGGTTACATACTTCATGAAAATCGAAATGTAATGAGGTTTTGTAGCTGAAAGTTGTAGTAAGAAAGAGAGAGGTTTATAATTATTAGCATAGAGACACATAATTTTCTAAATGCTTCATAAAAAATGCTATAAATAATAGAAAGAGAATAAGTTGTCTTCATTTATTCGTTTTGTCTTCCTTGGAAAATTTACATATGTTTCTTTCTATTTTAAATAAAAATAAGATCAATTAGTGCTTACTTCAATGTATTACAATTACCTGAATAAATGTCAACATGAAAATTTTAATATTTAGCTTTCAATAAGTTTGAATTGAAAATTACGAGAAATAAAATTTCTTTCAGATAACAACAACCTTTGGATATGAGACAGAAAATATGTATAAATTTGAAAAAAAAATTTTGCGTCATTTTTATATTATGTTTCAACAAATATCTAATCATTTTTAACTTGGTTAACAAATTCTGCTTTAACCATTTTTTTCTTTTTAAATTTCAGCCGGTCAACTACTGTTAGATCGTGCATTTGACCCACGTACAATTTGAGTTCGAGGTCACCAACCTAATATACAAATTTACTCAAAATGATTTTAAACGATTGATTTTTAAATTTTAGAGCACAGACTAGCAAATAGTATATAAAACGAAACAAAAACGTTCCAAATTTTACTCTCGTGTACTCTTTCTCATATCTTCAGGAGAATAGTATTAGCTGATTTTACATACATTACATAAAGTTCTATAGCGAGACTCTATGGAAATTCTGTACAAACCTTTACAAAAGATCTGCGCAAATCTTTGTGCATAATTCTAAATTCTATAGAAGCTGTATCTAAAACTCTGTAGATTTCTGCAGAAGAGCTTTGACCTCCATTATAGAAAATTGGGTCATAATTCTAAAGGATTCTAAAGAAGTTTGTACGGCTATTCATATATTTAAGTAATTAATAACTTCAGCTTTACTATCACTTTCTCTCTTCCATTTCCTCACCAAAATGCAAATCACTTTACAGAGTATTTAAGTCGAAGGTTTCGGATTGTAAGACAGAATATGTTTCTGCTTCTCGACGCCACGTTACTAGTTTTCACTAACTCTGAGAAGATGGTAATTATTCGGCTTTGCGTTATTGCTACCGACATTTAAATTGTTACGCCGGTGAGAAGCCAACTTTGCGTTAAAGCAGTTGCGTAGTTTTGGGCTACTAAGTTTAAATTTGTATTTCACTGCTATTTTAAGTTTCATCGTCACAAGTGGTAGATGATTTGTTAATCATGAGACGGGCATTTTATGTTCATGTTCTGATTTTATAAAAAGTTTTTTTTAAACCTTTTCAAGAGTTTTAATTTGGGTCAAGTGATAATTCACTTTATGTGTGTTAGGAGTTTGAAGCTAGTCTATGCCACCAAAGAAAATTCCAATGTTTGATATCTGTGTGGAATAAATGACGGATGAACTGATGAATATGAGATCTAATGTATCATGTCGTGCACACGAATTTTTGTTCACCACCCTATAGCAGCATATCCCACAGCATTTGCCACATACTAATTGCATATATTATTTTGACTCTTAGGAATTTATATTCATAATTAGCATCCTTTCAAGCTCAGTATTCACCGCCAGTCATAATTCGCTTTTAGCTCAACGGTACGTAATCCCAATAATTATCCTGTGTGCCATGTAACACGTATGCTACAGATATTCAAGAATAATTTAGCAATTTACCTATGCATTTATGTATCACCTGTATATACTTAATATCAGTATGATATTATGTATATCTATAGTATCATATTGTGCTCTATGTCAGTCGTCTCAAAATTAAATTGCATGGGGGCTGAATACACGATCTGAAAAACTGACGGCCCAGAACACTTTTTTGCCCAAATAAAAATTTCTTATCCACAAAATAAAAAAAAAAATACTTTAACTGCATTTTGAATTTCGTTCACCAAAATGTTTCCAAAAATCGGCATAAACAATACTAACAATAATACATAGGAAAAAAAAATCAAATTTGCATTTATTTTTTATTAGAGATTTATGTTTGTGTTCCTGCAAGATATTTTTTGTTGGTTACACTTTGTAATTCAAACATATTGACAGCTAAATATTAATATTTTACACTGACATCTGTAGCCAAGGTTTACTCTACTGTGATCAAAAACTTGTAGTTTGGCCAAGGGTTATTTTACAGTTGCACAAAAGAGGTTCATTCCAACAACCATATGCTAAACTTAAAAATTCTGTGTCATTTTAAAAAAACGTTTGGCCGACCGTTATATTGTTTTTGGTACGGTTCCAATTCCTTCTAACAGAAGCAAATAGTAAACGATATTACTGAGTTTTACGTAATGTAATTTTGAGCTTACTTCGGTAAAATCTGCGTTTGCCGGATCACCAATAACACTTCCATCATCTTGTTTATATCCTGCATACATTATAAGTTGGTTATTCCAAATACGAAAATCATGTAGGCCATCCGTTCTCTGTGGAAAGATAGTTATTGCCGATCTGAAAAGGAGAAAAATGTCGTAAAATAACAAAATCAGTTGTTTTTCTAGGAACAAAATGATTATTTTTAAACTTAAGCCCATATAAGTCGGTATGCTCTAGCGCCAGGTATCGGTAACCTGGGAGTCAAAATCAACCAAAATATGCAAATTAACAAGACATTTCGGGTCAGTGGTATTTTCATTTCAGAACAATCTTTCTTGCTGAATAATAAGATAAATTTTATTAAGAAAATAATTACAATACACTTTAAAACTTAAACATGAAAATTATAATTATAATAATAATTATTAAAAAAACAAACATAAGGAACGAGAAACGTGAGACAATCTGCTATACCTGTCAGCCAGTCATTAGTTTTCCTGACTTTCGCTCGCCAAGTGACCCATCAGCGCAGAATTTCATCTACACCACCGTTTTCCTCCCGATCGACGTTACTCACTTGCCTCATCCTAACCACTTCGTTTCTTAAGTGGTAACGGAGAATATAAGAACAAAAGCCAGAGGGCCAGTTATTGCGTGCAACGTTTTATTCGTGTCTGTTACAGAACTGTTATGAATTTATGGAACGAGAAACGTGAGATAATCTCCTGTACCTATCAGCCAGTCATTAGCTTTCCTGACCCTTGCTCACCAAGTGACCCATCAGCGCAGAACATCTCCACCACCGTTTTCCTCCCAATCAACGTTACTCGCTTGCCTCATCCTAACTACACTGGACTTATTTGGTTCTTCACACGTAAATGCCATCCTTGATCTTCACTTACTGAAATGCTAATCACTGATGTTAAGCTACATACATTTTTATTAGTCTGGGATAGGGCTTCGGCCCATGGTCTGCGGCGATTTAATAGAACTTTCCTTTTTATCCTTTAGACTGTATACGCGAGACTGCGATGTAACAATTAATTCGATCCCTTTAAGTGTATTATTTTGTTATTCAGTATTAATTAAATGTTATTTACTCATTAAGGGATCTCTTCGGACACCAAAAGAGGTTTTAAGGAGAACCTTGTGAAGAGCAATTCTAACGTATGAAGAACTACAATACATCTTATGTGATTCTGAGTCTGTGATCAATTTACGTCTACTTACTTATCTATCTGAGGACTCTGATGGTTTAATCCTTCTTACGTCAGCCATGTTCCTTCTTGAAAATTCTGAGACTAAGGTGATACTGGTTTTATTTTATACTATCACTATTGAATACATATCCGATATGGTTCTAAGCTTTTAAAGGAATGTGTTTTTATAAAAAGTATCTTATTAATTCAGCATCAAATCCAGAAATGCCGTTATTACAATGTAAGCCAGAAACTCATCGGAGATGATTTAAAAAACAATTTAATTGGCTTCTTTGTTCATTCAGAGTTGTGAAACTTATTCCCTGGAACTCTCAAACTGAAAACTCATTCTAATATTTTAACATGACCCATCCAGAAAATATTTCCTTTAGAGTTGTAATCTAAGGGATTCTTAGATTCTCTTTTAGATGTTAAACACAATAACATAAAATGGCAGTTACAATACCAATAATGCCAGTTACATTTGAAACTCTTAGTAAGATAGTGGAACAGAAGCACCAACTTCAGTGTCTTTTTGCCCATGGGACCGAAAGTTCATTTTCTATTTTGTGCACGGGAAAATATCTTCCTGCCCGCTGCTCGTTTTGCGAATTGCTTCTTTTTGCGTCGAAACTCGGAAAAACTTGTTTTTGCGTCGATTTTAATTGTGACAACTGTTTTTTGAACTGTTTTTAACTGCATTTTTTATGTTTTTCGGTATTTTAAAATTTTTTATGAAGAAGTTTTGAGTTTTTGTGTATTTTTGCCTTACCACGAAGTGAGAACTGAACTGATTGAAAGAGAAATGTTTGTCTAATGAAGTTCGAGAAAATTAGTTTAAATGAAATAGAGCAAAAAATGTGTATAATTTAATAGGTCCTGCAAGGAGGACATGCGTTGTCCACATCAGATATTTTACTTTTATTTTCTATTCTGTTCATTATATATTGAATCCCAGAGAAGTTATTTGTCAAATTGCAAATACCAATACCAAGACCCGTCAATACACAATGACGTTCAATAAAAGAATGCTTACCTGATATTTCCTTTGTTAGTGGCATATTTAATATGATTACAAATGGCGTCAAACATTTCTCTCGCTGTTGAAACATATCTTGCATCAAACACCTGAAATAAATTCGTGTTCATCATACAGACTTAAATAATGTTAACTAAACTATAAATATGAAATTTTAATATTTAAACTGAAGAAAATGAAACAAAATATTAGAGTTCAATTCCATATGCATATTTATAGTAACTTATATTTCTAAAATTTATTGTAATATTTCTGAAATAAATTCGTATAGTCACATATGGAGATTTCAGAAATTTCCCTATAGGTTTTATTTGTTGATCAGTATGAAAAATTCGTGGAGATATTCCATGTCAAATTTATTATAAGAAAAAGTTACTCATTTTTGACATTAAAGGTTTCTTACTAGTGAAACAACACTCGTTACTACGTCCAACCTCTTCAAGGCTCTGGCAGCTTCTTTTTCTATGAACAAACAAAATCATTGGTGCCTAAAGATCCTGCATCTTACAATGGATACCGGCTCATGTAAATATTTTTGGTAATGAGAAGGCCAATGAACTTGCAAAGGCATCCCGTGATTCTCCTCAGCCATCCAACTGCCTAACCCTCGTTGATGCCAATGCAGTTGCCAGCCAAAGACTAATCGGTCAAGTTAAAGGAAACTCCATCCCAGAATTGAACTGTGACAGAGCCATATCTACTATCATAACCAGACTTAGGACAAATCACTTAAAAGGGATGAGGATTTCTGCAGACGGACAGCGTAATTACACCAACATTTGTCCTCATCGCCCAGATGACATCCCACTGTTTCGCCATCACATCTTCAGCTGCCTAGCAATCCAGGCCAGACTGTTTAACATCGGCATTGAAGACCCAGTGGACCTACTTTATACTGTTAGAGCTGCCGAGGTTGCAAGAGCTGTCTTTGACAGCTTCGAAGCTATATAATTGCACTTTGTCATAGACACGACATCATCATCAACACTCGTTACTGAAGTTATATTTTTTGTATTAATTATAAACGTCTGCCTATTGTTGTTGTAGGTGCGAATACTCACGTGCCTGAGCTTAAAGTCAGCCCAAGCCCACGAAATTCCTTCTGGCACGGAGCGCAGTTTTACGCCTTCGTTCGCAGCAGCCTTGAGCACCTTAGAGGTCACAGTGCGATTTGGCTCAGTTCCGCACGGACACTGCACATTTACTATAGTGTTGCAGTCAGCAACCCTAACCACTATACCAGTTGGGCGGCCGAATATCTGCCTGAATCTTGCGAGTAAATGTACTATTCATTTTTGCTAACTTATTAATTTAATAATTTTATACAAAGACAATTTAAGAATTAAATTTTGTGCTTACCATTATATACCAAGGAGTGAAAATAGTTTCATAAGATTCTGCAATTATTTAGAAAAGCTTTGAAATTTATGTATCTCATATCAATATTTAAGGAAACAAAAATTCTATAACTTTATTTTCCGAAACCCTTCTGTAAGAGTTATTCAAATGAACCTGCAACAAACTGGGAAATACTTTGTTATATTCCCCATAATCATCAAAGAATTTATTCCTCTAACAACTAGCCTTAGGAGTGTTTCCTTATGATATACTTCATACTTCGCATAGAATGGATTTCAACCTCTGTATTCAGATAGTTTTTGCACTCGAAGTAGATTTTTCGTAGGAGTGTTTTCGCAGGAGAAGACGATAAGTGGGTGCAACACTACATGCACAGGTACAGTCCCAGTAACTTTTGATGGGTAGCACGCTGGAGGATAGATCCGAGAGACTTCCGCCCCTCGTTTCCTAACACCAAACCGCTTGAGAGAACTTTCGGCTCTCCAGTATTTTAAATGACCCCATGCCGCGCAGACACTACACATTTACAAGCATACATGATTTATAAGCATACAGCGTATAGGGATTCATACTCAGGTGTAACGATATGGTGGCCAAAATCGTTAACCCCTATACCTTTCAGGATAGTGGAGATTTTTTCACAGAAGCAAATACAGAGAAATCTTAAAAAGTCGAGTCTGAAGGTTGGTTTTCTGAAAAGGGTAAAGACACGAAGGCAATCTACCTAAGAAAAGGGATGCTTTCGTGAAGGACATTTTAAAAGAAACTGGCTGATATTTACGTTAACCATGGGAAAAACCCCGGAAACCAAACGCGTAGGCAGCCTTGGGTTAGCACTCAAAATTGGTCGAATTAAGAGTATTCAGCGGTGTTAAACACTCGACCACTGGTTGGCCAAGGCTGAAGGAAACTACTATTTGATGGATGTTCTGAGTCAAACTACCAAAATCTGTCATCAGTAATTTTCAGCGTGCCTGGGCCAAAGACACATAATACTCAAGTGCACATTGGCAGCGCAACCAAGAGTGGGGCGTCGAGTGCAGACCAATGGACTGCTGCTTTCACAGACCAATGAGCTACTATAGAGACCTACTAGTCCTGTGATGCTGAATCTTTGAAAGTTCTTGTTTATATTTCACGTCACATTTGTTTCTTAATACCCAGCATAATTTTCACAGTAAAACAGCAATGTTATAATTATTTCGCAGACAAAACTGGGCGGCAAAAATTTTTCAACCATCTTTATTCGGCAAAAGCCATGTGACACATAAAAAAGTATTACTGGAAGACAACTCGTCCATTCTATAAGGCCTCTCAATCAGTTGCGATACCAATGTGCATTTTAGAATTATGCGTACAGGATGTGTATTTGCTTGCAAATTCCTCTTCTTTGAAGAAATAGTTAATGGGACTGTTTGATTGCGTTGTGGAATACGTGGTTTTCTGAGCAAACTGCGTTAGTTTATGGTTCCTTATAGTTTGCTTATCTTCAAAGCACGAAAACTGTCCTACAGCCCTCAATTTTTATTTTGTAGTACCACTGATATGAGATGTCTTCTCCTTTCGGAACTTTCAGCGCTTCACACCGAGTATCTCATCTGTCTTTCCTGGTTTCGTTATTTTATCCCAGGACATCGGTGCGAGAACAATTAACGTTATTTCTTGCACCTGACTTGACATGTTGGTTTCACAAATATGAGCAACTAGTACTTTTATATTTGAGCAATCGTCATGTATTGTTTTATATCTAGAATTTTAATTTTACCTGCAGCTTGGACCACTGTATCCTTCCAATACATCTGGGGGCATTTCTCCAAGCTAGTTTGGCACCATATACCAATTCAGTTTCTTTTAGCTCATATGATCCGTTAGCTTCTACTTCGCTTGCGACTTCTTTCCATCTTCGTACGTGGCTGGGAGAATTAAGTCTAAAAATAATCAAATAATACCATTTTGAAGCAAAGAATTAAAAAAAAAATAGTGAAAGGTTAGATATAAGTCTCTCAGTCAAGATTATTTTATAAAATCTGCTCATAAAACGTTTTTTATCATTTTGCAAGTGTAATTCGACAAAAAGAGATAGCTGACAAATGTTGGACTATAACAACCTAAGATATAGGGTTTAATTTCCTAAATAGTTAGAGCCCTGTAGAGGGCGATTAGAAGAGACGAAGAAAATTAAATAAATAAAATAACTAATGAAATAATTTATAATTGATAAATGTGGAATAATTCAAATATATTTAAATACAAACAGATAAATAAGAATTTATTAAATTATAGATTAATAATAAATAGTTAATTAGTAAAACAACACATCTGACTACTCCTTATTTGGTCTTCGGTTGGAATTCACTTTCCCTCAGAAACTAAGCGTAACAGAGACAGATGACGGCTTAAACTCTGAATGCTATTCAATAATGTACTATTTTAAGAAATGATAAAAACAAAGATTGTTCATTTTTTTTCGCACACCGATGTAAAAATGTAAAACGGATAATTGTAAATGGTTATAATAAAAAAATCTGATGTGTACACCACATGACTTTCTTGTACGGAATATTAAATTATACGCATTTTTTCTTACATTTCATTTAAACTTATTGGATTTAACTAAATCTACTTCGACGACAGCGCATAAACAACAATAGAATAATTGCATTCTTTAAAATTCACTCTAGTATTTGTTTACTATGGCGACACTCTGACGCTAGATTCACTTAACAGTATTATATTTCGTTAATATTATAACTCAGAATGCACAAAATTGATATCATTTAAAGAATAGAATTATCTAATCGTTGCCACATCTTCTATTCAAATACTATAATAAAGCTAGAAGGATGTATAAAAGAAATTAAGCAAACAAAACAAAAAAAAAAAAAAAAAAAAAAAAAAAAAAAAAAAAAAAAAAAAAAAAAAAAAAAAAAAAAACAAAAAAAAAAAAAAAAAAAAAAAAAAAAAAAAAAAAAAAAAAAAAAAAAAAAGTTTTTCACAGACTGAGTATTTTTCATTCAATTAACTCAGTTTTCCCTTCGTGAGAAGGCAAAAATACATAAAAACTCAAAATATCTATATTAAAAATTACGAAGTAAATCTTAAACACTTATTTCCTCGAAAAAATTCCATAAAGGATTAAGCATGATTTAGTTCGCAATAATAAATAAAGCCGTTATCTTTGTTGTTGCAAAGCCAAGTTTCTCTAGATTGGCAACAAATCTACTATTCTGCTGTTTCAAATGTAAACAAATATGTCCGCCATGTTATTTAAAACTTAATTTCATTTAAACAGCTTTTAAATTCTTGATAATTGTACAAATATTGCTTCCAGACTTACGAAAGGCACAAAATCCTTATTCGGAAGATAAGAACAACATAATTCAATCATTTTTAAAGCAAAAAATGTACAATTTACAAACATATACGAGTAAAGAAACTGAGATCACTGAGCCGGGTAACAGAGTGGATATATATATATTTATATACGTTTGGTGCGGCCGATTGCAACCAAAATACGAGGTGCACATCTACATGTTATAGCAGTCCTATATACAAAATTTCAAAGTTCTGAGGCTACTCGTTTTTGAGTGATGCGAGATACGTACGTACTTACGTACATATGTTCGTACAGACGCCATGAAAAATTCTCTTTCAGAATTCATTTTAAAGCAGTTTTATAACTTTTTGGAGGAAAAGAGTCTTTTATTCTGTCCTTACGTACAGATATAACGCAAAAACATCGTTAAATTGCATTCGATAGCGGTCAAAATGGATATTTTCGTTGAAATATGCCGCCTGAAACTTTTCGCGATTACAATACTTCCTTTTTACTTCGTACAATTAAGTAAAAATACTAGAAAGTATGAGAGTATGAGAATAAAATTTTAATAGAGAAGAGTAGCTTCCAAAACAACGAAGAATCAAACACTTTCTTACTCGAATCCCATATAACTCCGATGTAACTCTAGCTGTTAAGAAGAATGTGACGGTGGGAAAAACTTCCCCCGAATCCGGGGCACAATCTTTAAGCTGAGAGAAAAGTAGGGATCTGTAGAAGTGACCATTCCCCATATTTAGTAACACTGTTTGGAAAAATCTTCAGGTGCTCCTTTCCACTGGAAACCACTAGCGCTGGTGATATCTGACTGAAATAGTATTTCACTATGTTAATTCCGTTGTAGCTTGAAACTCATTTAGGAACACGAGCAATAACCCCGCTGCTTCGTCTTACTGTAAATCAAGAGCATCTAAAATGATAATAAGTCAGCGGATACGAAACAGCAAGCAGAGGAATCATTTCAGAATGAGAAAATTACTCGTTCTCAAGCGAGCTCTTAAAACTTTTACATTTCCTTTAGAATAAATTTTTGACATGTTTATTGGGAAGGAGATCTTTCCTTAAAAGTATCAAATACCGTGCAGACGTTCGTTTACCAGATACAGGCATGCCTTTAGAAGTTAGAATCAGGTTTTAAAACTATTTATTAAGGTAAGATCTCAAACGAATTTTCTCCTGAACTTGTGTTTCAATTTCATAAAAGAAGTCTCGAAGCCCCTCTCATTTAAGGCTTCGCTGCGTTGCAGCTATAATTACGATTTAAACTGAGAAGTAGCGAGTCGGTCTCCTGCGCAGTTTGAGCTCTGTTAACATCTCATTTTTTAAAATTTGCCTGCTTGTTTTCAGCTTTGTTTTCTTTTGAAAATATTGCGGTCGAAAATAAAGCGGTTAAAAAAACTTCGTAGTTTATAGACATCGTCGTCGAAAATATCACGGTAAAAAATAAAGTACCTACAAATCCTCGTATGACGATAACATCGCACATGTACGTTTTTGAAATCCCATACTGACATATTATGTAACTGACTTTCGTCATAACTAACAAATCGACATCTAAAAAATAGATTTCACGCTATACATGAAAATGTTAACGACACTTTCAGTATAAACAGAAACAAAACAATATATAATTTTCACTAAAACAATATCAAATTAACAAATGTAAAAGAAAATAATTTGATCATTAACTAAGCAATTTTAATAGAGATAACCTCATGTAGTTATTTATCTTCCATTATCTAAGCATTTTTAGACTGTATTTTTCATAAAAAATCGTCAGTAAAACTTTATACAAGCGGTTAATTTATTTAATTTACGGACCTTTGTTAATTAACCATGTAAATTTTATATTCTATTAAGTTCTAAAGGTTGCATTAATTTTCTACTCATTTTCATTTTTTTTTTTTTAAATGCTGAAGTTTCCTTCTTATTTTTTCAGCAAAAATTTATTATTTCGTTCAAAATACGAAAAAATCCTAATGTCTCTACAAGAGTACCGAGAATAGTTTTGACAATTTCTGTTTTTCAGTAATTTTTTTTGCCAATTTTACTAACACGATGAGTGCCTATATGCAATAAGGTAAATTGCATGAGCGGGCCACAGGTATCCCCGATTCCAATAATTCGCGGGAAGCTATTTCGACCATTCTCATCTTCGTACGACTTTAATCAGCCAAAATATTAATTAAAGACTCTGAAAACGCTAATTTTCGCCCTTGTTTTTTCCGATTGGCAACAGTCTGCCACACTGGAGATAAAACTTTGCTTTATTTCGAAAAATGTTGCCATTGTCGAAAAGTGTTTTCTTTCAAATCGTAGAGTTTGTTAACAAAACATTTGTACGTTTTACAAACTATGAAATAAAAATACCATTGCCAAACATTAAATATGTTATTATTACATAATGTTATATTCTGACGTTGAAAAAAGCACGCCATTGCATGTGACGTCAATATGTCGAAAATGTTTCGTTAATGTTGTAAATCAATAGCAGCTGTCGGCAACTTCATTGCTTCAGGTTAGGATATTTGACACGGTATGTATTGCCACGTTATTCATATTGAGAGAAAGTTATTATATTACATTATATCATGACGTCGTATGTAAACGTATTAACCTGAAGTGTCAAAATGAAATGTTTGTTTCCTGGTTTGGCAACAACACAACTGTTTACGAATTGGCTGTTGCTTGGAAAGAATGTACCGACTTTATTCATATTGAAATGTTTTTTATGCACTTTCTAAGTACTTTCCCTTTACCATCCAAGAATTCTCTTACTCAAGTCTCATTTTCAAGAACTCCTGTCTCATTTTCATCCTGGTAAGGGCTGACAAAATCGGAAGTGACAGTACAGATAGATAATGGTGCTAATTGACATAAACTTTGCAACTATATAACAATAAATCGTAAATGTTACGTTTTTGCGTAAATTTTGCAACATTTCAAAACATGAATATTCCTATTGATATTTCAAGCACACCTTTTTAGAGTTTTATTATAAAAAAGTTAAAAAAACTATCTGATGTAGACACTACATGACTTCCTTGTATGGTCTATTAAATTATACACATTTTTTGCTGCATTTCATTTCAATTTATTTCTTCGATTTTCATTAAAGATATATTTCTCATTGAATCGATTCAGATCTTGTAAGGATCTTAAGTTTTACTAACGTTTATTTTTATTTTAAATCTTTACTATCACTTCTTATTTTCTACTTCCGGCCAGAATTAAAAGCTTTAACTTATTTATGCAAATTTGTCTGGCGAACGCCAAGTACTTAAGTTGTGGCTTTTTGCCAAGCAAGAGAGAGGAAGGAGTTAGTCGAAGCAGGCCGCTTGCCTTAGCAGTTTTACTCGGTTGCTGGTTGCCTTCCAGGCCAGAGGTTTAATCCTCTTGATAATTTTAAACGTATTGTAGTGTTAACAGTTCTCTGTACTACATACGGCTTCCTGTTAATATAGGCCAATCTTCCACGTAGGCCCTTGTTTATTATTCCAAATTTAAGTTAGAGTTTAGTTAATATTTTTATATTCTTACGTTCAGACCACAAGTAGTTGGTCTCTGTTATTCCGAAGTACGGAAATTATG